ATGAATGGTACTAAGTTGCAAGAGGTCCTCGCTTCTGCACCATAGTGATTGTCTCTTAAGTCTATTTGGAGGACATAGCACAAAGACTTTGGCATCAAATATATCCATCTATTGGTTTAGGCAAGCCTGCTACTGCAAAAACATTGTCAAAATATTTGGAAAGGCTTCGTCGTAAATTGTCAGTTGTTTAGCTATTGCCACACAGACGCAAGTGCCTACCAAATACTACCACATGGAAGGCTGTTTGGAGGGTATTCAACTCACCTGGACGGGTTTGTTACCGAACTAGCTGCTTTTAATGAGCTCTCAATGCTCATCACATCGTCGGGATTTCTGAAATCCGAAGACCCTAGTTGAATATTTCTGCTTTTCAAGAGTCCTCGCTGTCGGAATGAGGTGTCTGTGGAAGCGGATAGTCTGGCCGACTGTGGTCCCTGAAGGCCGGATGTGCTGCCTAGACCTGCCAACTTCAGGTGAAGAAGTGTGTACAATAAAGACAAGACGAGACATAAAAAGAGTAAAAGTGCACATTCGAGGAATAATTGGTGTTTAAACAATCCCATGCTAAGATGAATTTTTCATTTTCATTAAATATGTTTCTCTGAAGCGATCCGGCTTTGCTGGTCTCACTAGAAGAAGCTGACAGCTTTTAGTAGACTCAGAAGTTAAGCTGGGCACAGTCCTTAGGATAGTTTTTCTTGGTTCAAGCGAAAACATGCTGAATGGTTGGAGCCTACGGTAGAGGCTATCTCAAACTCGCCGGCTTGCTGCTAAGCTAAAAGTAAGAAGGGCCTTCGAGCTAAACTAGTTAAAGGGAAACTTGAATTGTATTTGATTGATAAGCCTGTGCATGGAGAATATGTTGAGCCATGTTTAAAAGGAAGTTTCATTCTTAAAATACAATAAAACATTTTCGACACAGTTGATTTCGATCAGACAGCTTATCCCTTCAACCAGACGGAAGACCGAGATTACACAATCCTTGTCTTATTCATCAAAGACTAGATAAACCTTGATGGCTCGAATTTATTTCAGATGATTTAGAGCGCCTACATCCACAAACCGAGGTGGAATTTGGAAGAATACGCCTCTGGCAATTCGGTTTAGTTGAGGATGATACTGAGTTTGTTTAGGGTTGTTACATTTGTTCACCAGGACTAAAGCAAGGCGTTTCGAAGATCACGAACTTCTTCATCACACACAATTTCATACGAAATAATAGTCGATTCTAGAAGGAAAGATTTATTGTCCAAAATCTCGACAGCTTCTATGAGTGGCCCAGGTTTTATCAGACCATTGGAATCATATCATCTTATCACTCTAAACGAAATTGAATGAATGCATCTAATATTTATAATCTACTGGAGGCCTGCAAAGCCTACTTTTAAAATGAAAAATAATTGACATAGTCGACTGCTTCATCGACAATTCCACGACTTCAAGTAGTTTAAGAGAATTTATAGATGATTTTTGGTACAAGACTATGAGTAAAATGTAAGATTTCATTAAATTTCACTTGGTTTTGTTTATAAAAATCTCTCTCATCCAGACTGGATGGCAGATTCTACCTTGCCTAGATCTCATCCACATCGTGGTGACACACAGCCCCTCTGTTACACACTTACGAGTGGCACTGTGTCATTTGGCAGATGTGACTATCAAGGTAAGCAAGGATTTCACTGGGGCGAATATGCGTCTGTTCTTACAATTGAGTAATACTGGAATAAGAGGTGATGATTTTCAATATACTACCATCGAATGCAAGTAATGGCAGACACATAATTGTATCATCGAAAAACCCCACTATAAAATGTATATCTGAGTTGTTGAAAATCGTATCTACGTTGTTACTGTGTAACAGATGGGTAAGATAAAAGAGTTGTATTCACTCTATTTCGTTTAAGGTGATTAAGGACTGGTAGTTGAACTTTCCCACAATCATATGAGTAGGCCCCATGTTTTCATTGGATTTCGCATAGCCTTGCTTTCCAAAGGGTATTATCATACAGGTTTGGGTGAACTGCGTTTTCGACGTCCTCTGAACTAATTTCATCAGCACCCACAGCGGGACTCGATATTATAGGCTGTATTATCAGGGTTTGAGTCCGGATAGGTCAGATGGTGAGACCGATTCCGTCAAGGTCGAAACTGGAGAAGAATGGCTTTTTGAAAGTAAGGCTGTATGAATTTTGATGGGAACGTAAGGCCTACTCATATGTATATGGGAAAATTCAACCTTAAAAGATATAGGGTGAATAACAGCATTAATATCTATGTCGACTCAACTGATAGTCTTGCAAAACCTACTTATAAAACGAAAAAGAGTGATTACATGTAGCTAGAATGATTAAGACTCTGATTTTCATCTAGTTGGAGGTGATGATGAAATCATAGTCCAGTTGGGATGAGAAAGTCTTCTGGGAGATGTGGTCGGGTTAATTTCAATGGCATCCCAAGGCCTAGTCAACTATCAATCCTTGATCATCTTAAGCGACCTCGT